AGACTTTGTTGATGCCTTGACTCTTTATTTCCTTTCTGGTCAAAGTTTTCATTTGTCCAGTGAAATATCTAAATATCCACTGGATGGATTGGCCCAACATTTAGTACAGACATTCATGGTTCTCAGACAGTGTATTCTAATGACTCTCCCTGTAGCTCTGCTGTAAGGCTCACACATTTGTGTTGCTGTCAAGATGAATTATAATCGCTTTAGCACCACCACCAGGTCAACTATTTAATTTGTTCAAGACTTTGTTTTGTGACTAAATCCTCGCATAACTGATGACATTCCCATGAGTCCCAGCTGTACTTCGTGTTTAGTGCTTAATAGCAAATGTTACCATGCTAAGATGCTAAAATAAGATGGTGTTCATGGAATAACATCAGGATGTTAGTATTGAGCTTGAAGTCCCGCTGTGCAGCCTCACAGTCACTAGCATGGCTGCAGACAGTTTCTGAACATCTAGGCATGAGCTATATATAGTATATATGGTACAACTTCTCATTTCTGTACAAAATCATCAGCGCAAAGTAGTACTAAACACTGAGTATTGTTAAGACCGAAGGGAATGTAATAAAGTTTTGAATGCCTGCACCCAAATTGCATAGTAATCCAGCCAGCATTTTTTGAGACAGTTCACTGAAATCCAAAAATGTCGACCATCATGGAGATGCTAGAGGAAACGTCAGGGGATCACAGCCACTAGAATTCATCCTCTGAGCACCACAGATACCTTTACCAAACTGTATGGCAATCCTTCCAACAGATGTTAAAAAGGCGTGTAGACCAAACATGTGGACTGACTGACGGACAGACCACTAGTCTGCTTCAAGAGAGCTTACATCACCAGTATAAACAGGGTTGGGTAGTAACAGATTAACAGACTAATTACATTAGGAGAGTAAGAAAATGTCAATACACTTGAGTATTCCAGTATTTTGTTATAATACACTGTATTGATTTATGTGTATAAAGTGATGATGTTGGATCTTACAAAGACTGTGATGAATACAAATGAAGATCCGACTGTTCTGGTTGCATAAAAAAAGAAACTTTATAAGCATATGGTGGTGTGTTCTTTATACTATAAGACTGAATTACTGCCTTGCTTACAGTATCGCAGTAGATTTAATGGTAACCCCATGTATCCTGACACCCAGGGTGCGAACTACACGGGAGCCAGGAGGAGCTGGGCTCTTAATAAGACATGAGCCCCACCTGCACCCGAAAAGATGATTCATAAAACTTTGGGGGATTGAGTCTCTAAAATATTGCATACATACAAAAAACACATACATGCATTTCTATTTTTCTGTATCTTTATCATCATGGATTATGTGTATACTATTGATTTATGATTTGTGCATGAGGGTGATTCATCACTTATTCACTTTAATAAAGATACTGCTGTTCTTGCCATCACCATTGAAGCGTGGCAGAACAATATCATTAACTTCAGATAGGAAATATACATAAAATAAACGTTCCTGGTCCCAGACTGTCTGCGAGCCGAATCGCCATTATTCATTCCTCTGTTTTGTAGTCAGCATACTGTGCGTCACGGTCAGTCCAGTCTCCCCCCCCAAAGCAGTAGAAAAAGGGAGCTCCCTCGAAAGCCATGGTATATATTTCTACACTGGTGATACTTATCAAATTGCCAGATTCTCGCCAATACGCAGCCCTAATTCCCATGTAATTTGTTTTAGTAGTAACTTACTACATTTCAAAGTAATCTGACTCAACCCCAATTATAGAGTTAGTGTATTAGAGTTACAAAATCCATCTTACAGTAGAAAACTGTAAAAAAAAAAAAAAAAAAAAAAAATATATATATATATAGGCTTCTCTACCAAGAAAACAGCATTACAAATACCAAACAAGAACACTGAATAATCATTCAATACATCTAACTGACTGAATGACACCCATTAATATTCATTTCCTGTGTTTTGTATCTCTTTTAAGTGATGAAGGCCATCATCAGCTTTATATTTTTCTGCAGGGAGAGTGTTGTGCCATTTTCTTCTCTTATTTTAAAAAGTAAGAAATAAACTCCCTCTGGCTGCATGAATTCAAACTCCTAGCAGAACTTAAAAGGAGCAGCAAGTGAGAACCAAACTTGTGTTTAAGCCTGAGTGTTGGCAAGTACACACCCTGCCTCAAGTGCCCTCGAGCAAGCCACTGAACCCCGCCCCCCCCACAGACGACCCGCTACTCTAACTTACAACACTCACACTTCCCTGTTGTGTGTGTGTGTGTGGGGGGGGGGCAACTCTGTGACCTTCCTGCCTCTCTCGGGCCAATTTGCAGCAGGGTGCGGCCCGCAGCGGGGGTGAACTCATGACAAGGCTGAGTTCCTGGGTGAAGGGAAGTTTGGACACCACGGCCCAGTCTGGAAGAAATCTGCAGGCTCTGATAAAGGGGGAGCCGGGCAGGCAGCGGCTTCTTGAAGGCAGAGAAAACTTTGCACACACACTCCCGCAGTGGTGAGTAATTACTGTGGCTGCCGAGTGTGAGCCGAGATAGGGGATTCCTCTCCTGCATAGCTAGGTGGACGGGAGATAAATGGCTCTGTGTTTTTTTGCTCTAAGTCAATCTCTCATTTATTTGTGTGAGCGGCCACACCAACACAGATGCCAGTCCCTCTCCACTTGGCACAGACTCCACCATTTGCGAATATGATATCTGGGTATCTGGCCACGGCAGATAGAGGCTGACTTTAGTCTGGAGGCTTTGGGAGGCCTAATCAATAGCTTTAATCAATTAAGAATGCAGCAACTGAAAAGCTGCAGAAAGGGGGCCAAGTCTCACACTAAAAGGACCTCATTCCATTTATCACAGCACTCCTGCATCGATCTGAAAAAGGTATAGAAAGAGGTATCTGATGAATTCATTTCAGCAAGGCGGCAGTGTGAAGATTCTGCATGGCAGCAATTTTCTATGCCCTCATCTTTCCGCTGAGCCTGTTGTTGTTTTAAAGGAGGTAGGTATACCTTGCCGTGGCACTGGTGGGCTTTCATTTGTCTCGGTGAGAGTGAAGCACAGATGGTAAGAGAGGTGAGCACTGCAGATTCTGAGGTGTCGCACCCTCCAAGAAACCGAGACTGCCATAATGATGAAAGCTGCAGTACCACACTGACCTCAAATGGTCAGACATGGTACTGGCACTACATAGACACAGACTGTGGTCCTTTTAATGGCAACAGGAGAATCGTATCTGTAGTGGAAATGAACCACTAGTCTTAAATATAACCAAAAATAATTTAAAAATGATGCCTTATAGAGTAAATTATGCTTTTAAGTTAATCTTTTAGTCCATATCAGACTAGGAGATTTATGATATCCCCACATTCACAGGCTGAATCGTAACCCCCATCACTCTAATTGACTTCCTATCAGCAGGGAGCGTTCGTCTCTGACCTACAGTAAAAACCACACATTAGCACTACCACCTGGGCACGAACTAGCAGTGCGTTATTATTCCATTCCATTATGGTTAACGTCCTCTAATTAGTTGGCCATCCTTGGGTAATCCTAAATTAAAGGTCAGGGCCACTTGGTTCCCATGAGTTTGGGTAAAGGGTTTATATGGAGTATAACATGGCAATGATGTGCAGAGTCAGGACCGTGCCTGTGGGTTATACTGGCTTTAATGTAAGGCTTGCAGAGAAAGAAATGCACCAAATCAGACCCTAATCCATCCCTGAGTGCAACCTGAAAGCCAGATCCAAATGTAGATAGTTCATTTTATCATGATTCCTAACATCATTCCAACAAACATGGCCTTTATCCTGCTACAGATAGATAAGTGAAGGGTGCTGGCCCTCCGTGGAGTGAGGATTTATTTTTATTGCCGTCCAAGGGAGAGCTAGCCAACTGCTGTGTACATGTACGTCTGTTTCAGGGCAGATAGTGGTTGATTCAAAGTCTCAGCCTGTCAAATCTTTCTGTGGGGAGGTCAGCAGGAGGCTGGACCTGGCTGACTGCCCGAGTCTTTGGAAGCCAGGTGGGAGCTAGAAATTTACAGTCACACTAGGAGACGTACAACTGGGGAATTTTCAGATCGGCTTTACCCCCTAACAGGTCACTAGATGCTAAATCCAGAGCCAAACTGTAGTTTTTTTTCTGTGTATTAATGTTTGGATTAGCAGTCGAAGCTCAGATGTAATTGAAGGCATTATTGAGCACACCGGGCTGCCCATTGTTTTTCCTCTATAAAAATAAAAAGCGCTGAAACGGCACGAGTAGACACCATAATATAAATGCCTGTTTAAATAAATCCTCCAGCTTGTGTTTTCTGACACTAGCTGGGCTATAAATGAGTATAGCTCTGTGCTAGTGCGTGCTGAGTAAGCACTACCTCCAGCTGTAGCAGCCGGGTCTCTGGCAGTGCGGGGGGGGTAAAGCGGTGGCCAGCATCCTCTACTACTTCCTCCACACCTCCATCATTTGTATAATCCCTCCTTACCCCTTTGTTCTGTTGAAGTAGTGCCAGATGGCTGCTTTTTATATATATAGGAACTGTCCCATGAGAATTGTGTCCTTTGCTTGGATTCAGCAAATTATTTACTTTAGTGGGAGGGCATTTGGTAAATATCTACACCTTTATTGCTAGGTGTGACATACAGTATATTGCAGTGTTTGACAGTGTGGAATTGACCTTTGTTCAGCATCTCAGGTCTCATGGGAGTTTTCATCTGGATATAAGTATGTCATGGCCTCTACGCCTGAAACTAAAAAAAGTATCTAAGAAAGTCAGTGTCTACAGATTACAGTTATTTTTCTTCTTAAAAAGCAAGGATATGTGATACTCTCAATATAGAACCTAGTATAGTAGATAGTTATGTCTCAGTCTTTTTACATTTGAATTGGTTTAAACTACTAACGTGTCTGGTTAAAGTATTGAAGTTATCTCAGTTTGAAGCAGCAGTGATGAGGTGTGTGCAAGAGTTCATCTGATCGGCCTGAGTCAGGATTCACGACAGTAAGAGTGGTAAAAATCTGATGCACCTTCAACTTTTATTCAACATCACAACTCCTGTAGTAGACATTTGGTCTGAGAGAACAGCAAACTATGGATTTCTAGTACGTCTCAACAGAAAAGCACTACAAGTATGAATTGAACAAGAGAGACAGTAAGGTTAAAACATGGCTACAGGCCTGCATGCACAGAACGATGGAGTATATAGACTTGTTCTAGGTGAGTGCTGTACAAACTGCCCAGCTACCATTCAAACGGTAGGCCGGTCAATTCTGTGCAGGTAGCATTGTGTTCATAGAGCTGTCTGAAACTGAGTTGCACGCACAGTCTGGTGTACATCACGCAGTAGTGTTGGGTAGCATCATGAACGACAAATCCATTCAAAAAAGGCACAATCCCATCCTCAACAGTCACCCAGCAAAAGCTTAGGGAAACATACAGGCTGAAGTCATCAGAAACTAAAAACTACAAGTCCCACGGTTGCATCCAACAAAGTGCTCTGTGGATGGATGTTATAGCAGCAACTTGAGTTACGAGAACATCAAATCGACTGATGTGACAGCACACAATGTGTACGAGTCTGTAAAGCAGTCTTAGTTTCCACTGGTCCTGGGTCAGAAAACAGTCCTAAAGCATGTGTTTTAAACAGACAAAGCATGTTTATTTCAAACTAAAACAATATGTACCCAACATCAGAACATCCCTGTTTTTTTCTTCCCCCTGGCATGTAATTTTCTGTTTGTGTTCACTGTATAATTGGAAACAAATTACAGACATTTATTTTGGGGATACAACATTTTCATGTTTTCATATTAAAAATGTTCATTTTTCCCAATTATAAGCAGCTGTACTGGTCTCACTGTATGCAGGCTATTTGTTCTGCTTAGAAACAGAAAGCATTGTAGGACACCACAAAAGCATTCATTGAAAACTTTGCAGCAGCATTTTAAAAGAAGAGGAGACAGAAATGGAGCCAGCAACTGCTGTTTTCAAGTATTGTGTGTAACTGTATTCAATCCTTTGTCGAACAGACAGGATTTCTTACTCTCTTCCATAGGAAGGTCAAAGCTCATTTCCCCCATATACAATTGAAACATTTTGGTAGGCAATTCAATAAAATCCGCCAAGCTTAGATTAATTAAAATGGGTGGGTTGGCATTACAACTTAAAAAAGGAAAAAGGAAATAAAACACAAACAAAATTGTCTATCAATATATCAGCTAACGAGCCTTCTATTTAAGTACACTGGTATTTGTGAGAGATAAAATCATTTGTTGTTGGTTATCAGACAATAACTGATGTGAGTCAGTATTCGCCATGTCCCGTGTGGTGGTGGTGGTTTGCTGACATGAGTACAGAGAAGAAGAGACAACTTTACAAAATGATCTTTTACCTACTGAGTGATGATTATGTCCCCTCAGTGTCTGTGACAGTGTCTACCACTGGCTGACTCGCAGCTTCCTCCATGGGCTCACTCTGTTCATTGTCTACGTCCTTAGGAGAGGCAAGCTCCTCCTGCTGCTGCTCCGGTTCACTTTCAGGGAGCACAGAACTGGGGGAGGGTTCTTGAGAGGGCTCAGGAGAGGGCTCTGAGGAGGGCTCAGGGGAGGGCTCAAGGGAAGGCTCAGGGGAGGGCTCAGGGGAAGGCTCAGGGGAAGGCTCAGGGGAAGGCTCAGGGGAAGGCTCAGGGGAGGCTTCAGGGCAGGGCTCAGGAGAGGCCTCAGGTGTGGGTTCAGCCCCAGTGCTATTGTCCATCCCAGGTCCATTGACCCACTGGGGTTGGGGTGAGGAGGCTCGCTCTTGTGACTCCTCCTCATCCTTCTGTGGGCTTTCCTGCTCCTCCAGAGAGTGAGTTGTCTCTTCAGGGGGGCTGGCAGCTTGTGTAAAGGCCACAGGTGAGTCCTGGGATGAGGCGTCAACCAGCGGTGAGGCTTGGCTTGGGGTGTCACTGTCTGGGGAAACAGTCGTTCTGGAGGGGGATTGAGCTATGGGCTGGGATGGCGATTCTGTTTGTGGTGATGACTCTGCCTCGGTGGGAGCCTCAGTCAATGGGCTCTGACCCTTGCTGTCAGATGAGGGGTCGGGAGATTGGGCTGAGGGTGGTGACTGTGCCTGAGGAGTTGAGGATTCTGACTGGGGTTCAGGCACAGCTGCTTGGCTCTGTGATGGAGGTGGAGACTTAATCTGAACCTGAGGCAGCGGCTGACCCAGGAGAGAGGGCTTGGACTGAGCTTGAGGCAGGAGTGGGGACTGGAATCGTGGCTGAATCTGAGGGTTCAATTTGAGTGGTGAAAGGAGTTTACCTTGGTTCAGGGTCAGGTTGGGATTAAGAGGTGGAGTTGGAAGTAGAGGTGTAGGTAGAGGGAGAAGAGGTGTCCAGCCCCCACGTTCACGTTCCCGCTCACGGTCTCTCTCTTTGTCGCGTTCTCGGTCACGTTCATGCTCTCTGGTGCGGTCTCGGCCTCGCTCCCTGTCTCTATCCCTCTCACGTTCCCTCTCTCTCTCACGGCTGTGGCGGTTACCGTTCATCTCCCTCCTGAAGTCAAAATCTCTTTCATCTCTGTCTCTCTGCCTGTCCCACGGACGTCTTCGCTCATCTAGGTCTTGATGCAGTTCACTGTCAAAAGGTGCTGTGGAACCACCACTACGGTTCCAGGCCTGTGGCCCCCCAACAGCTCCAGCATTTCCTGAAACTCCACTTGCTCCTCCTGTTGTCCCAGGACGGCTGTCAAAGCGGGTGGGGAAGTTCTGCCCTGGAGTGGGGCGCTCCTCCTGGAAGCCTTTTGGACCGACTGGGGCCTGTAGGCCTCCTCGCATGCCATCTCGTTCATCAAAGTCCCCTCTGGTCTGGTTCCAGCGGCTATCAGGAGTGAAGCCTGCAAGAGCCTGTAGACGTCCCACTAGGCTGGTTCTGGCTGGCTGAGTCCCTGGGGTCTGGAGCAAAGGAGGCCTGCCTCCTCCACCACCTCCTGCTCCACCACCTCCAAGTGGCTCCCTATGCTCTAGTGGAGGGGTTCGCAGCAGGCCTGTGCTCTGCTTTTCCATTGGAGGGAAGCGGTAGTCCTGGTCTTTGCCCTCATCAGCGCCAGAGGAAGACTCGTCTTCTGTCTTGGAAACATTTTCATTGGTAAGATTGGCGGCCCTGTTGAAGGGGTCCAGCTGAGAGAAGGGAGCCCTGGCACGGGCTTGAGCCTGGAGGGCACTGTCGAGGAGGCCAGCAGCCTGCTGTGCAGGGCTCTGCTGCATGAGGAGTGGGAAGCGGGCAGCAGCCCCCGGTTGGAGGAGGTTAGGTCGCACATCAAGAGGCAGCAGTCCAGGCATCCTCTGTCCAGCCAGACCAGACTGATGCAGCGGGTGGGTGAGGGAGGCTGTGGGGTGCATACCAAGGAGACCCATCCCACTGCGGACTGCATTCTGCATGCCTGGGGACAAAACACAATGACAGAAATAAATTGAAATTCTTCCAAATACAAGTTACTTTACTAAACACAAAACACGTTAGCAGTGCTTCACCTTGCAGTGTAAGCTCTGCAGCAGCATCCATACCCTCTGCAGACTGTGCTGCTTTCTCGTTGGTGGCTTGCTGAGTTTGGACTCCCACTGGGTTGAACATACCAGCTCCAGGGATGGCTGAAGCCATGAAGCTGCCAGGGATAGTGCTGGTTGGAGGGATCATTGCGCCGAATGGTGAATCTTTAACAGCTTCTTGGCTGGTTGCCACCGAAGGCTGCACTAGAGCTAAAGGTGGGTACAGGAGAAACAACATATTTAATCTAAGGTGATAAATTGCAACTAAATGCCTTGAAAGGACAAATCACTTTCAAAACTATACGCATGTATTATAAGGGTAGTGTGTCAAATACTCACAAGAAGTTACTGAGGCCATGCCTGCTGTCTGTGCTGCCTGCATAAAACCTGCACAACAGAAAATAATTTTGTGTAAGCTTGTAAATTTCTGTATATTTTTAGTTTTATTTATATTAACAATTTGCATCAATTACCTGGCGGAGGCTGTGACGTATTAAAACCAGCTCTTATGAAGGGTGGTGGCGGCCCGTAGCCTGGTGGGGGTATGCCCATGCTGACAGGGAAGGTAGGAGGCACTAAACCTACTGCACTGGGAACAGCCTGGGCCACTGGCAGCTGGATGAGAGAGATATGAGAGAACACATTTAAAATATGGCTAAGTTAATAGTGCAATGGTACACAAGTTCCAGACCATGTCCCAGTGGCTTCTATCAAAGTCTTTGCAAAAACCAGCTAGTCTCTGGATCTTTGATGAGATAGTTCTACTTATTGAAAACAAAGATGCACTGTCACCACTGTCATCAAGAAAACAAGGGTTAAATATGTTAAACCCTTTAGCTCCTGCAAATATACACGGTCTTTACATTATATCCAAAGATCGAGACAGACCCTCTTCAATACCTGTACAGGCATCATGGTGACCTGCTGGTTGTACGTCTCAGTCTGGGTGTTAGATGCTGCTGTAGTCTCAACGCTTACTGGCTGACTTGTAACTTCCTTGGCTGGCTCGGCATTCTTGGCTGCTTCCCACTCTGCAGAAACAGACAAAAATATGAAAACAAAGTTATAAACTTATCCAATTCTTTGTTTGGATTTGGGAGTTTAGCAGGGGCGGTGGGGGGGTTCACGATGGGATTTCTAAAAGGATTTTGGGTATTACCACCGCAAAACAAACAACTGAAAGAATGAGGTAGAAAACAAATCCAATTGGATGATCACAGTGCAAGAAGCGCCTGTGTTTGGATATCTGCGTTATGTTTTAATCATGTGTGTACAAACTGGCTTGCGTGCCCTACTTAAACAAGTAATGCTACTGATTTAAAAGAAAGAAGTTAATGTGTTTCTTTTCACCATCGTTAACGGTCTCCTGGTCAATGATTCCTCCTTCAGCAAAACCATCCAAGTCATCCAGCTTCACCTTCTCCCAAGGTATGTAGGTGACACCTAGGTCCACATCCCAAAACTGCTTGTACTCCTGCTTTACTCCCTTGTTCAGAGCCCATGCAATCTGCATCAGATACACACACAGCCAAGGTCAAGAAACAGACATTTTCAAAGTAATTTCTGGGTGCATACATGGATCTGTGTGCCTAGAAAGCTTGTCTCTGAGATTTCACCAATGGAGGTCAATGAAAAATTACATTAGAAGAAACCACAAGGAGAATGGGAACACAATCAAATTATAAAGGTTATGCGTACCTTGATTATTTTGGAGCCAATCTTAAAGGAGCCGGTACTGAGTTTCTGGCGGGCGCGGTATGCATCCTGTCTATGGACCATACAAATGTAGGCACAGCCTCTGGGAGGGATCATCTGCAGAGACACATGCACAGAGACACATTTACATTATATTACACAAGACATCCACCATACAGTGGACAATAACAAGAGACTTAGATGAGACAAGAGATGTGTGTTTGATGAGAAATTTGGAAAAGAGAAAAGGTGAGAGTGTGAATGTATAGCATAGAGGAATGAAAAAGAAAAAAAGGTGGGGACTGTAATAGAAATGTGGCATTTAGTTAATGGCAGCTTTAGGTCACTATATCATAATGACAAACTGAAGTTCATATGACAGATATTTTTCAAATTTTGGATATCAAAGAACTGGCTAACATGCTGTAATTACAGGGTTAGTAGGGGGAGAGGTCTACTTACGTTGATGGACTCAATCTGGCCAAACTCTTCAAATAAGTTGGTGAGGTCTTGCTGAGTGGCCTTTTTGTCCACCTGGCCCACCCACAGAGTTGTGCTGCAAACTAGGTAAAGGTAGAGGGAAAGGCAATGATTACTCAGCAGAAAAGCATTGACAGCAATCAGCTATGAAATTATTCTGAAACAAAGACTTTCACAATGACGTCCACTTACCACTTAGAGTCTTGGATCGTATGGGAGGCAGTCCTTTCTTCTGTCGCTCCTTCTCACGCTCTCGTGCGCGTCTTTCACTCGAGTAAGACCGCGATGACTTCCTCTTGCGATCTCTGGAGCGTGAACGTGAACGCTTGCGATGTTTACGTTTCCGTGAGCCAGAGCGGGATCTGGACCTTCTCCTCTTGGGAGACCTACAGAGAGAAAACATCAAAACATTTGGAAATTCTTTCGAGACTGGCTTTTTGTGATACGTTTACTGTAATATCACAGACCTACTCCTTTTGAGCATCAACAACTGTTCGTTATTGCACTGAACATTTATCCACTTGCAAGTGCAACACTGTAAGCCAGTACTTAGTGTTTGATATTAAAGGACTACAGCAACCTCATATTACAAGCTTGTATAAGCAATTAATTACTTCTTAATCCAGATTTGGTACACATATTGCTGATATAAATGTGATGAATAAAAACAATCCATTCTAATGCGAGAGAAAGTAGTTCTACAAATGTAACGGTCTCCCTCAGAAGAGATTTCAATCTCAAGGGACTTCCTGGTTAAATAAAGGTTAAATACAAAAATATACACAGTAAGCTAGAAAGAGACATAAGGTGTATATTTTATTATCCTTTATACATAAACATCTTACAGTCAGAACCACTTCCATGCAGATATCTTGTCAAAGTACTGCATCAGGGCACAGTCAGCAATTTTCTAGCAAGGTTAAAAGATCAAAGCTTCTTCACTCAAGAGACAATTCAGCAGTATACCAGGCACATTTATAAAACTCTGGCATAAAGACGAGATTTTAGAAATAAGCGGGACTGACCTAGAGCGTGACCTTGACCGTGTTCTGGAGCGTGTGCTGACAATCTTCTTCTCCTCTGCTTCAAAGATCTCCTCCTCCATACCATCGGGACCCTCATCCAGATCCATATCCTAAAAGAACAGAGGATCATTTCAACACATCTCTACACAGAAATAAAGTCATATAGTCACATAGAATACAGCAGTAATTACTATCTGATCTAGGCCTACGGGTAAATAAATAAAACCAAGGTCAATGACTATGATTTCTGGTACTGGCCCACTGTCCAGGCATACCTGCTGTTGGTTGTCTATGGTGTCATCCAACTTGTTATCTGGTTCAGGAAGCTGTGCCTGGCTGCTGCTCTGTGCAGTTGCAACGGAGTTCTCTTGGCCAAAGATTGAGTCCTGCCCTTCTATGCTCATTGCCTGAAGAAAAAATTTGTCTTTTAATAACAATGCATCTAAGCAGGTAAGTCTAAGCATGTTTACCATGACCGAGATGAGAACATAACCATTTCATTTTCTTTGAAACAATGTGTGAGGGACATTCATAGTGTGGTGTCTGGGGATGAAGAGTTGTTACTTATAGGTCAATGGATGCTGGGGTATATGTGTGCAGTCCCTCTGGGCGAGTACCAGAGACTACTGAATTCAGTTAGCATTTCTAAAGCAACTTAAGGCTATTTACTATACAATATGGCTAACATAAAGCAACTTGGGAAGGAAAATTATTTATCTGTTAAACCAAAGCAAGCTTGAGCAAACAGTCATAAAAAAAAACAGTGGTAACAGTGATCTGTGTGTTTACAGTGTGTCTACCTACCTTCTGTTGGTGCTGCTGGTGCTCCAAAAGCTGCTTCTGAAACTGCTCCAAGTTCTGCTGTTGTAGCTGCTCAGCCAGCTGATGGAAGAGGGAGCTGTTGATGGGCTCCGACACCATGGGCCTGAAAGTGGTCAGCAGCTCGGTTAGATCAGTGGAGGTGGTTAACACATTAAAAGGACTCCGGGTCACTATTAAGTTAGTTTTAGTTAGAAATAACAGTCAGACCATGAAACACAAAAAACTCACAGTTGAGATGATGAGCTGTCCTTTTTAGATTCTTCACCACGTTCAGAATCATTCCCAAAATCAAAAGGACCCAGAAGCTTCTGCAAGTAACAAACAGCATACTTACATTAGGAGGAATCAGATGAAGCAAGTAATAAGAAACTTTCAGTTTGCAGATTGCATCATCACCTTATTAAAAGAGGAGACCCTCTGCTCCAGGGGATTGAGACTGTTGGCAGTAGCAGCGGCAGTGAGTTGAGCTGTCAGAGCTTGCAACTGCACCACCAGGCCAGCATCCAAGGCCTGCAGCAGGGACGGCTGGGGCTTCTGCTGCTGCATCTGTAGACTCTGTACCAGCTGCTGCAACTGCAACAGGGAATAATATAGGGCATTTGACACATTTCTAACAGCAACAGCTACACAAACTGCAGACCCTACTCATGCAAAAGGACACAGTATTGTTTTATTGGAGATAAAGGATTATTATTTACCTATAACCAAACATTTCAGTTTAATTGAGTGTTTTCTAACCTGTTGTCCTTGGGGACTCTGTAGGATCTGTGCCACAGCAGCCACAGTGTCTGTGTTGGTAATCTGGGAAGCCCAGTCAGGCAGACCCTGGACAATGTTGGCTGGGGTGGCCGGGGTAGCTGGGGTGCCTGGACACACAGAGACAGAGGTGTTGTAATATGAACCATGAAGTGATTGATTCAACAGTAGTGTCAAACACGTTATCTGACCGCAGTTATCAGAGTGTATGGCTATCTACTTGTGTGTACTGACCAGGTGTAGTGTTATTGACTGGGGCAGCACTGCTGGGCATGACTGGTGTGACACTGGGAGGGGGAATCCCTGCTGCCATGTCCAACAGAGGCTGGATGATGTCACTCTTGAAGACCGCATTCTTCTGCCACAGGTTCAGGACTCGCACTATCTTACTCTGGAGACAACAATAAAGACGAAATCTGTGACATAACGGCAAAAAGAAACGTTTTGGGACAGGTGCAGCCTAAAAGTTTATGATAAAAGAAAACTGTCAAGGCCAAAAACAAGGGCATGATGCTTCAGACACCCGATTTCTTTTATTATTTCCTTTTCACTAGTTTATTAACAGTTCCTCATACATCCATGATGATATGGGACAAAAACAATCGTGAGTGAGCCGCACATCAAGGGGTTTAACATCAACTCATGAAACCATGACGAGAAAAATTAAAAACCACATCTAGAAACACAAAGCCTATTAAAAACTGTCTGACCTTATCATCTGAAGGGCAGCGGTAGAGGTGCTGGAACGTTGGAATGATATTCTTGCTGAAGCGTGGGGCAAAAACATCCTTCTCCGTCCCAAACTGGTGTCGCGACTGTCTGACAATTGAGTCGATGACGTACAGCCCTGGAACTTTGTATTCTGGTTTGCACTGTTAATACAGGAACAAAGCTGGTGTTAGGATATTTTAATAACAGTGAAACAGTCTATGTTACTGTCTGGGTGCTTTTATGCATTTTTAAGCGATGAATGTATGTAGTTCCAGTGCTATAATACAATTCAATAGATCACAAACCATTTTTTTTAATTGTTAAGAGAACACACTAAGATTGTTGCATTTATGCTGGAAATATAAACTATTAGGATCATCTTTCATGTCCTTAGTGGCCGAATTAATTAGTAAATCAGTATGGTTTTACTCTCAACATTTTATTACGCTTAGCTGATAATCCTCTTTTTAAAATATGACTCACCTTTTGTATGAACTTCTCCACACTCTGGACAACATGTTTGTAGAACTGAAAGAGAAGCAAAGGAAAGGAAAGATTTTGAGTAATTTTGAACAGCAGTATTTTAGAGCAGATAAAACTAAACCAGCAGGAGCTTTGGTCAATTTATTTAAAACCTGAAAAAGGAACCGAAAATACATGACTGGGGTGAACGGTCATTCTTTTTTTAAAACTCCAGTTGCTCCACCCACCCCTCTTAACACCACCGCCACCCAATACTGACGATAAAGACACGGGGGTTAAGTGATGACAACTGCAGTTTTGGCTGCAATGTAATATTTACTGTAATATCATTTCATCTTCCATGTTCTATCCTCGTTTAGAGAGGCTTGCAAAGGACAAGTCATTATTGCTAAAAAGTAATTTATCAATTCTGGAGGGTATAACAGAAAGATGCAAAGAATTTCAGTCCAATTTAGAAAAACCAATAACTTTTCAAATAAGTTGTATAGTAGATATTTATCTACACATATATAAGAATATATTTTTTATTATTATTTAAATATTTGGAATCTACATTGGACACTAACATGGGTAACATTGGGCTTAGTAGGGGGCTTCTGCAGCTTTCAGAAAAACGTTAAAGAATGAGAACCAAGAAGAAAACATTACTAAAAAATATCCAGTAGCCAGTTGCAAAAGAAACAAAGTTTGCTTAGTGAGCTTTACTTACACAAGACCATTCTGACCATTGTGAATTAATATGGCTGAACAATACAAATCATTATGCATCACAATTTTAACTAATTTATTCACTGAAGAACCTATTAAGAGATAATGTGACATTTGTTGGGGTCTGTACCAAAAAAATGTTTTTGTTAAATCTGGAGAACAAGATCGGAAGGACAGGGCATCTCTGCACCACTACAGTACTATTCTGACACACATTTTACCTTTATTAAAAACGGCATCTGTGATTTGAATATTGCACTTGGCAATATTGTGATTTTGAATAATTGTGCAACTCTACTAATTAAAAAACAAACAAACACTCACCTGTATTTATGTAAGCTAACTGAACGACCAAAAATAACCAATAAACTTGGATGCATAATTCATGAGTAGTCATTAGGATTGGGCGGATTTATATATTTTCCCAACCGGCCTATTCAAGCATGCGTGTGCTGTGCCAGCGCCTCTGGCGACGGCCGACCAATTGCCCAACCGTAGCAGTCATACTCAAAAAGATTTAAGTTGTGTGCAGTAACGAAGGGTTAAAGTTTCATTATGTTGTTCAGTCTACAGTCTTGCAAGATTCAGTCCACATACTCTTTAGTCAAACAGGGCACTTATCAAGCTGTTTTTGCCAAATCATGTTTCCTTGTAGGGCTGGAAACCTCTACTTTAATCTATACATGTGTACAATCTGCTGTACTTGTTGAGTATGTTTGTGCTGAAATTCAGAATAAATAAATCGAAGGGATAATACACATTTATGTACTTCAAAGTGAGGCTTACTTAGAAGTGATAAGTGACTACTATACTAAAACTCCATTGTTGCACCTTTTTTTACTACCAACACCTATGATGGATCTCAAAGACGAGGCTTGATGTATCTCCACCTTAGAGTGTTTACTTATAAAAAACTCATATCTTGTGCGTGTGGAGGAAACCTGTTACTGATGTAGCATATCGATATGATCGAAACTAACGTGGTCCCGAAAGCAGGTGCATTCACTGTCTTAACATATTCACCGTATACTATAATATTCTTAGCGCAATACCAGAGAATGTCCCTAGCGATTGTCAGTAGACAGTAAAGGAGGGGGAGAGTTAATTGATCGGAAAAATATAAACTAAATAGCTGCTGAGGTCTCTGCACTCACACCTTTTTCCTGAGTTCACAAATGTACTAATTGTATGTAATGTAATTAATTAAATGAATTTAGCGTCAATGGTAGATGAGAAAAGTCTTTGCTGAAGCTTCATACATAAATACATAAGCACTGAGACAACTGAAAGATTAGACATTTACCCTTTTCATTAATACAACAAAAACTAATGGTTGTGCAGCCTTCTTTTAAAATCCATATCTGATACCTAGAAGAACTTTGACCAAAATGGCTGACACTATGTATTTAGATTTAAGCAAATTCAATGATAATCACACCAATTTATGTGGACTGGTGTGGAACAAATCGAGTTCTACAATCAGCCAGTAGATGGAGTCAAAGTACAGGAGATTGAGCAGCTAGACTTCATGGATCATCACAGGGACCAAATAGAGGTAAATGGTAATTTCAGTTAAATACATTTAAAAAGCGAGAGATGAAACGTCTGTCAACCAACTGTAGGCATGCTCACAATATATTGTGTAAGCCCATATAAGGCAATGAGGTGTTAGTAATAATAACCTTGAACTAACATGGATAACAGATGAGCTTGACCTAGATCATGACAAATGTTCAGGAAACCCAACACTGGTGGCAGAATACAACCGCAAAAATAGACCACTGAATCAAATATAAAGTGTACAAACAATGAAAGCATTGCCATAAACTGCGTGTGTATGTTTGTGTGTGTATATAGTAAGGCTTGTAGTGGATTAAAATGAACAGTGTTAAATTGATTTATGTCAAGACCCTATTTGCAATATAACATTGGGAATAAAAGGGGTCCACTGGACCCGCAAACTTGCCAGTAAGAAGTAGTCCTGAGAAGAGATTAATAACTCAAGAAAAGACAGATGCCTTTTTTAAAGAACCTAACTCAAAGACAACATAAGCAACATGTGCCTCAAATAAGTAGGAAGTAAACCCATCTAAACACAAAGGAGACAAAGGTAAATAGGATTGAAGACTATCAGTAGTCCCAGTTAGCCTATTACGATTCAATATTCAACAATGACCAATATTTACAGGCAAAACATGTCAGCATGACAATGAAAACTGGGGTTTGAAATGTTGTGACACGTGTTAACCATCTAAAACAAGCAAATCAAACACACACACACACACACACACACACACACACACACACAGTTAGAATGTATAGCTTCTTTCAGCTAAATAAAAGGAGAGATAAGCTGCTGCGACTGTGTATTATAATTATTTACAGGCAGGGCGCATGAAATTGGCTGAGAGGTAAAGAGGCGGTGACTAGTGACAACAGCACTGTCATGAAAAGTCCACATTGTGAAACAAACTGTGAAATAAATGAATGACAAAATGCCATTATGAAATAAAAACAGACTTTTGAAAGGGAGTATTTTAGTAGAAGAAATTTGGTGACATCAAAATAAACCAAAATATTAACGAATATAGTTTAAAAAATAATTTACCTAAACCAATCAAAATACTGATGAGGAAAGAACTTGTTGAAAGAGGAGTTGGTCTAGGATTGATGAAACTGGCACTGACTTTTTTTTTTAGTAAGCTAGCTTTGTTTCAAATAAAATCCAATTGTGAGATTGCAGACCTTAAACATACAGTAACCTTACTGAGGACAGGCACACCTACCTCACACAAGAAAAAACACATGCTCATGCACTTGCTGCTGCAGTGTGAACCTGTCGCTAGGCAACTGATGTGGCATACTGCAGAGCCTGATTGAGTGTGCAAGAGATAAGAACAACTTTGCAACATTTACTGTGAAAGATTTTTTAAATATATTTGACAAATAACTAGATAGATTCCCATTCAGCAGTGCTTTCAGCCTTTTGACCCATATATCTATAAGCTACCTTATATGAACTTATGGTTAAGTACATTTAAGTGACTTATGGCCAACTGGAAAGGGAAAAAGCCCATAGAAGGAAAAAGCGAGGCAGAGAAAAGCTCACATTACAGGCCAAACTACATCACAGGGTTCGTGGGATCCCTCCTCAACCAAACAACTGAGCATCTCCCTCATCTGAAGACTGGGCTCATTTGTGAAGTCTACCCACGGCACCGCTATTAGTTTAAATAACTGGGAATTTTAAAACTGATATTTGGTTTAAACCAGTTGGCAAACATTATTTGTAGGAGTGTGTGCCTCAGTTTTGGGGTCACTGCTCAGTACGTTTTTTGGGACAGCAGGGAACACAAAATAATGTAGAAAATAACTTTTGTCATTTGTTTAAAAAAAAGTAACTTTTACCAGTAACTTATTATGTCTGTTCAACATTCAAATATTGGCATATTGTAAATTGAAAAATTGTAACAGAAAAATGTATAAGAAGAAGAATAAGAATATGAAGGGCACAGTGTAGTGGGACGAGTATGTCTGCATATCCACAGCGATAAACCCTTGATAGCATTAGTTGTTACTTTGACATGGTTTGCGTCTTTAGTGAGAGGTTGCCAGTCTGTTTTTGTCATCATCAAGCATCTCGGGTGATGTAGTTGTAAATGATGTGTTTGAAGTGTTTCCACAGACACACCCGACTTAAGGTGAACAATGTTGGCATACAGTTTGACACTAATCGCTGCCCATTGAGCTTTACTAACCTGGCTAGCTGAAGACAACAACTAGTGCACTGCCAAAACCTCCCAGGTAAAACTCGCACTCTAGAAATTCTGTTTAGCTTGTGCAAGTAGTAGATATAAATAGGCTATTTTGACAGTAATTGTCTCAGTCACAGGGCAACCCAACACAGGGCAGTGACAAACCGAAAACAAACGGTTTTGGACAAATAAACATACCATTAACCCTTAGTTCTTCGACATAACTAGCTGGTCAGTCTGGCAGATATATTATTATACAATAATCGATACATCATTTGTAAAAAAAACTAAAAAAACTTTACATCTAGGAGTGGTGTGTTGAACAAAGAGAGAAATTGAGAATGCTAAACATTTAACAGAACATCAAATGCAATAAGCAGCATTTTCGTTTGAATGCTTGATTTCATTCTCAATTTGAGTTCTGAGCTATATGCACAGCAGCCCCAACAGTTCTTCATCTCTGAATGCTAAAGGAAACATGTTTCTTATTGGGGGATACCAATCCATACAAATGAGTCTTGTTGGTTATAGTACTCTTGGCATTCATTTTGACTATGTATCTGTAAGAGTATTAGGGCTGTA